CCTATAACACGTTGTTCTTGAACCTAGAGTTCTCTGCTGTTTGAAATGCATACTTCTAGGAACTTTATTCATGTGCCAATTTGGTCTGCTCCTGATGGTTCAGGCTTGTGGGAAGCCTTGCACTGTGAAGCTGGAGGATGGCACCAGGGCGTAATAGGTGTGTTCCATGCCCTGGCTACTCTATTTCTTCTAGGCTGCTGAGTGTTTTTTGCCCTTATTTGACCCATGATTTTCTTTTTTTCTAAATGGGTAAACAGGAAACAGTATTCAATTCTGAGAGAAAACAAAGCGATCCCAAACCCTCTGAGTGGTTTTAAAAAAACTGGTTGAAATGAAGGTTTAAAATCAGTTTTTATCCTTTTCCACTGCAAACAAAAAAGATACCATGTATTTGAATGCAGATGAAATAACCTTTGTGAAGTCTGGAGTTCAGAATAAAGATACAAATGAGTTTGTGTTGGGTTTTATCCTCAGTGTTGAAACTGTGGTTGCTTACTGTGAAATTTTGTAGTACGCCTAGCCTAAAATCTAACCACTTAAATTTGTGAATGCAGTTTGGGTGCCAGTGCTGTCCTCCTGCCCTGCAGATTCCATATTTTAGATCACCTTGTAGCAGCAACTGCTATGCAAGAAACATTTATGCAAAATGTAAATTAACTGCTTATCTGAAGGTATGGGTACACCACACCATAAACTCCTGCAAGGCAAGCTAGGCTCCAAATTTGCATCATCAGCAGCTCCCACCTGATGTAGCTTCAGTTCCTGTGGAAGCTTACCCATCTCTCCCTGAAGGGTAAATTGCTGGGTTGTGCTCACTGAAGGGTGAAAGCAGATGCATTTGTACGGCACAGCAGCTAACAAGACATGAATTAACACGCTGCTTTATCTTGCAGTAATTTGTTCTGCAGCCATAACCTAATGATGCACAAGGCAATGAAGCCACGAGTACCTCAACGTGCACTTTTATCCATGACAACGTTGCTCCTTTCTCTGTGCTGCCCCTGACTTGTCAGCAAAGGGATGGGGGTTAAAATGATACCTTTTCAGGTGGCCAGAAGAATAATGGTGCCAAAGCTCTCCTTAAATTGGCTTTGGAGTGGTGCTTTTGAGATATAAAAAAAAATTTGCATAAAAATACACGGCAACATAAATGTATAAACTCACTATGTGAATAATTTTTGTCTCTTTGATGCCTTTTGTAGATGCTTGTATGGTGCTTTGGGAACTAGTCTAATGTTTAGTCTAATGTTGTAATCTCTTGGATTGCAAAAGTGGTGAAGGCTTTCTTATTTGGCTGGTGGTTTTTTTGTTTGTTGTTTTTTCTTTCCCAATAGACATGAGCATTCAGACGTCAAGCTGTCTGCAGTTAGCCTCCTGGTAGAGATAACCTTGAAATTTAGAGGAGCCCAAAGTGACTCTGTCTCCTCTTTCCTTAAGAAGATCTCAATGCTTTCAGCCTTTGTTACCAGTTTGTCTCCGATGTAATTATATCACAAAACATAGCATTATATTTTGAGTTTCATACCTTGGCTCTTCACCAGGTTTATCTCCCAGTAGTGTTTCTCTGTTGTCCTCTCTCTGGGCCCAGCCTGGATTTGTGGGTATAAAAGTGAAAAGGAAATAATGTATTTGGTGGTTTGGTTTGTTTCTTCTTGGGGATTTTAAATATACTTTTAGTTACGGGACAAAAAACAGTTGCTAAATTTAGAAAAATCAAGGACAGATAACTTTTATACTCTTGTCTTGGGAAGGCTTAAACTTTTTTCCAGTATCAGGGATGCCCTTAGTTTAGTAGAAAATACCCTGCTAGCTTGTTGCAGGTTACTTTGGTGTCTTTCCTTGTTAGTAGGCTTGTTACACTTGTATGGAAATGTGAAGTGCACTGCAAAGAATTCAAGTAGAAAATGCTCACTCATTTTTCTCTTGAGTTCCTGCTCAGGGATTTTGAGCTCCAGACAAAAATGAGTAGAAATTACCACACTTAATTCCAGCAATTCATGTGCTTCTTTCATGTATCCTTAAACATGCAGCCTGGGTGAGTTGTTTTGCTTAACACTTTCCCATCAGGTGGCAGTTCTGGTTCTTTTGGACTGACATACCAGCAAGTTAGGTGTGCAGAGTGCCAAACTATTTTGCAACCTACTCAAAAGTCTGACATCTCAGAAAATACAAGTGTAGTAGTTAGAGAAAACTCACTGGTTACCTGACCAGAAATTAGTTTTGCCACTTGTCAGCATTTCTATCAAATAGAGTAAGCTATTTTTAAACTGCTTGTTGTCAACATGACTTCAAAATTAGAACATGTAGGAAAATGGGTTTGGTTTTCAGTGAAAAGGAAATACTTTTGGGCAGAACGCCACTTTAGCTTCTCATAGGAAATGCAGTTGAGGAACTCTTATTCTCACCCTGCCCTGTGGACTGAGATTCCTGGTCAGAATAACTCTGGTAAGGGACCAGCCTCATGGACAAAGGCAGTGCTTCCTGGGAGAAGTCTGAGGAAGTGCTCAGATAAGCAAAGTTGTGATAGGGCAGTTAGACTGTGGTTTCACAAGTGGTACACTGGCTACGGGCTCTTCTCAGTTCTTGATTTGTTACTTACTGAAGCTTTTGAGATTCAGAGTTACCTTGAGAGCTTTTCCATGGGTTTGTTTTACATGTTTGTTGGTTTGATTTCTACAAAGCATTTTTTGAACTGGTCATGCACAGAATACTGACAGATGAGCCTCACTGCATCTCTTTGTATTGGTTGAAGAGTCTCTTTCC